AACATGTCGCCCAATTGTAAAGTATACATAGAGTTATTTAAACATGCAATAAAATTGCTCGTATTTGGAATTTTTCTTGGATATATAAATATTTTTAAAATGAATACAAGCAAAATTCTAAAATGCTGTTATTCAAAATAAAATTTATCATTATTTTGTAATATTATATAAAGATAAGAATACATATGAATCATTCATGCTTTTATGATTTTGAAATTCGTGAATCATTGAATAAAATAAAAGAAAATATAGTATTATTATCGACGAAAAAAATTTCGTACGTGTCAAGATTTTTATTTATATAATGAGTCAATATTTATAATGTTTGGCAAGATATTTACTTTATTGAATCTTTGTAATCAATTTAAAAGTAATTTAATACGAATGGAAAAGTGAACTTGAATATTTTAATTATAAACAAATCGTTTCTTTTTATATAATTTGTCAGTAATTCGAAATTTGAGCGAATTTTTTTGCTGACGTTTGTTTTTGACTATGATTGGATAGAACTCGTCAAGTTACATCTAAAAATCTTGTTTTTTTAGCGAAACTTAAGTTTAAAAAAAGTCTATAAAAGTTGAACTATACCAAAATCATGAAACATCAATATTTATTCGGATTTCTTTTTATTTAACTGATCATATGATTAGGCAAAAAATCTATGTATGATTTTTGAAAAATATTGTTTCATTATAGAGAAAATCGATTTTTTTCGATATGTAAAGCAAGTGTTTGTCAAACTTCGCCCTTAGGGGAATTACATAGGTAAGATTATTCGAAAACAAGAGCGAAGAAGTTTCATAACAGAAACTCTACAAATACTTGTCTTAAGTATTGAGTATTTTTTTCGGTGCAGATATTGTTTTACTGATTCTTAATATGATGTTCGTTTTATTTCAAACTGAAGTTCTGATGGTCAAAATTTCTGAATATAAACTAATATTTATAGTATTTCGCTGTCATATCGTAAAAACGACCATTTTCTCCATAAGGAAACAATATTTTTCATGACTCATACGTTACTATTTTTACCTATATGACGAGTAAAATAAAAAAAAAACAAATTCCGATCAATATTGAGTCTATGCTGTAGAGCTTGCCGGGTACAGGACCAACTCGACGGACTCCACTAATCTTGATGTATTTCAATTGTTATAGACATTTTCTTATTGTTTTTGTTTTAACATAATTTTCGCTACAAAAAGAATATGGGTAGAGGTGGATAACTTGACGACCTCTATCCAATCATGTCAAAAAAAACGCGAAAGAAAATTTTACTTGAATTCTGATTTTCAATAACAATGAAAATTCACGAAAAGGTTAAAAGATTTTATTCTTTTCTGGTTTTTTTTCTTAGTTCTAATATCGGACATTTCTCTTTTGATGGTTTACAGTATAAACAATGGAATATTTATTAGATCAACACAATTTTCAAATATATAATAAAATAAAAATTTACAAAATAAAATCAAATAGCATAACCAAATTACAGAAGTATTGAGATTTTTTTTCTCATCATATTCAATTGAACTGATGTCTTATTCCAAAGAAAGTAAAGAATAATGTAATAAAAATAACTAATATTCAACACTTTATAAATTTTTCTTACGTCACTTCTCCGAAAGTATTTGCGTCGTTACAAACCGATGAATAACGTGTACATGACTATTTACTATTCATACATTTATATACACCTATAATTATGCAAATGATAGAAGTATACAGGTAAATTATAACTTTTTATGTACATAACATCGGAGTCATGGCAAATAACGAAAGTTTACCAATTGATTTTGATGAATTTGTAAAATTAACAAATATATCTCATTGGATTTATCGTGTATGGACAATACTATATAATATTCTTGGTATTACTGGCAATATTTTTGCATTATTTATATTTATTCATTGGACAAAACGATTATCTCTATATATTTATTTTAGTTTTTTATGTATTATAAATATTTTAGTTATATTTATTGATATGAATTATCATTTTCTTATTCCATTTACAACTAATAGTAAAATTTTAATAGAAAATTTTCTTCCAAAAGCATGTAAATGTATATTTTTTTTAACATATTTTTTTCGTTATTTGTTTATATGGATTATTGTTATGATTAATATTGATCGTTGTTTATATTTAAGTGAACATTCATTTAGAAAAATTCTATGTCAACAACGTACAGCAAAAATAATTTGTTGTATATTAATTTTATTTTCATTTTTTGCTAATTTTCATTTTTTAATTTATTTTAATCAACCAATTATAACTCAAATTCCAACAAATAATACTTGTTTCATAGATGGACTTCTTTGTCATTGTAAAACATCACATCCAACATATAGAGTTTTTTGGAAAACTATTTGGCCAATATATAATCTTATTATATTTGCTATTATTCCATTATTTATTATCATTATTTGTTGTATATTAATTATTCGAAATATATATTTAACAAGAAAAAATATTTATGGAAAAAGACATGATTCAGATGTATCTGTTAAATCAAAAAATGATCATTTACATTCAATAACAAAAACATTAATATGTCTTGATTTATTATTTCCTATTACAATATTTCCAACATTATTTTTACAAATTTATGTTAATTATAATGCACCTAAAACTTGTTTGAAGATTGGAACATTGAATTTAATTTTTTCAATTGGATTTGCAATGATATATATTAAAAATACATTTGCATTTTTTATATTTTATTTAACAGGACAAAAATTTCGTCGTGCTTTTTCAGCATTAGTTCATGGTAGAAAAATATCTGATTCTACAGATAGTCATTGAATAATTTTAATTCTCTTTTGTTATGAATATATAAATAAATAGTAGAACTTATAGAAAACTAATAAAGATAATAATGATTCTCAATGAGTAATGATTTAAAATTAAAGATTCCCATTATCAATTCTCGCTAAACAAATTTCCAGAAATCTACAATGAAAGTTATGACGACTGTAAACAGTCGTATACGATGTCTTTATTATCATATCCATATGTGCCATTCGTCAGTAAGAAAGTCGTGACTTTCTTTTTCACAAATAAAAAGAAAATCAAATTTGATTTTTTTAAAACTTACCTTTGCACTTGTCTTTGCGATTAGCCTAAGTAAAAAATATTTAATTAAATTTTAAATAATACCTATAATATTTTATTTGTTATCGAAAGATTAATCTAAACATAGAAAATAGAATTCATATCTTGAAATAATACTTCACTATTGAAGTTATAGTTAATATTGCTCGAAATAAACAAAATATGTTGGACATCCGTACAACCACCAATTATTTAGTTATATCTCTCATTTATGAACAGATATAATTTAATATATATTTAAAATGTTTATGTACGCTGCTGGATAAAATTATGAGAAAAAAAAACTTACTGGAGAGTTCTTATATTCTACAGATTCACTAGGGATTTTGCAATTTTCAAGAGAGGGCCAACTACGGTTAATATTCTACGATGTGATCGTACAACTCTCGATCGACGACTGAATACAACTCGAAAATGGTAATACGTACAATCGTTTCATACAATTTATATGCATAAAATGGCATGAGTTGAAATTTTGATAATATTTATGTCTTGCTGTACTGTAAATATTTGCAAATATTGAATGGACAACAATTTGGATAAAGACTTGGTACATAAACTATATTAAAAAGTGTAATCATATGATTGACACATCATCTAAGATTTCGATTCATCAGTCTAAGGTTGATTCGATTTTTCTCGTTATCCACAAAGTTGATTTTCGATAATTAATCTAACAGCTAACGTTAGGATTTATTGACTATGTATTGAATTCAATTGGTCTATTTAATATGAGTTGAAAATTTTGGTTTTGTATAAAAAGAAAACTTTCTATTTGAAACTAGTTTTCATCGATAAACAAATCATTGAAATTCGATAGAAGTCTTCTCGAATAAATGATAATAAATGCGTTAGCTGTAATATTTTTTTGTTCTTTTGAAATTATCAAGCAATGTACTATTTGCTTCTTTTTTACCAGAACTAACAGGTATATAACACGTCCTAGTGAATATACTAAACTCAGGATATGCTACTACTAATATTCTGCTGGAACATTGAGTACTTTATGGGTATTTAACACTTGACTACAAAATGCTTCTCAATGTTCAATCTACCAACTTGTTCAAACACTGTTCATAGAATACGATAGAAACTGGACAGATACCTCTTAAGTACTCATATGCTGAGATAATGCTCAGCAGGATACCTAACCAAAAGGGGTGTGGGTGTGGCTGAAGGCGTGCGATTGTGGATGTGGGGTGTGGGTGTGGCTGAGGGTGTGGATGTGTGAGTGTGTGTGTGGGGTGTGAGTGTGGGGTATGGGTGTGGGTATCAGTTTTATCCACACCCACACTCATACTCACACCCGCACCCGTTTATACGTTCTTTACAATTTTAACAATAAAAATGATCCATCATCGACGAATGATCTTCAGCTTTAGTACATTTTTATCATTAGAGATAATCTAAATAGATGAGAAAAAAAAGAATTAGTTTTTTTTCTTATTCAACTTATTAATAATAGATCATCATCAAGAACACTAATAGAACTTAATTATTTATTCATTTCATTAGAATTATTCGTAAAATGATGTGATTATCATATAAAGAATAATATCTATTCTAATATTTAGATTAATGGAAAATCAAATTCTCATACAATATTCAAATAGTCTCATATTTCATGATAAACAAAGCATATGTTCTGACATGTATAAACATATATGTAGAGTAACTATCGGCTCGAGATATTAAAAGTATGAGAAAGATTTCTATCATGGATGGAGACTTACTGAAATCAATTTTTTGTTTTATATTTCAAGTAAAAAAAACTTACGTAAATTAATTTTCGTTTTAATTTTGAATCTTTTCTATTTCTTTTTTTTTTTATTAAAAGTGCTTTTGATGAACTTGAACGCTTTAACTTTGGATCAGTTGTCGAACGATGTTAACGACCCGGAACCAAAGATAATGAATGTTCAGATGAACCAGTGGGTATATATTGTGTACCACATGAATATAATTCTGACCAAAACCGTAAATCAGAAAGAGAATATGATGGATAAAGAACCTTAAAAATAAAATATTAGATAAAAATATTCTTTGCTTTTTTTTACTTGTTTTCTTCTTGTATCAGATGAAGGATTAATAAATTATGTTGTTAATTGTATATTTAATAAGCTCCAAACACTTGATGTTTTTGTTTCTAAATTAGCTGTTGCCCAGGTCGAGCGTTACGGACTCCGTAAACGACCGTTTACGACGTCGTATACGACCGTATACATACCATATACGCTCCGTATACGACCGTATTACATGGCCCAGTATTACGATCGTATATTTGCGTGACCGTATACGGCAAAATACGGAGAAAAACGGAGGTCGTATACGGAGCATATACGGTCGTAAACGACCGTATTTTTTCCGTATGCGGTCGTAAACGATCGTGTTTTGCCGTGTGTGTGGGAAAAATATTGACCTTTTTACGTTTAATTACACGTACATCAGTGATATTATCACTAGGACATATACCTACCTATCTATCTACTTACCTACCTACCAATCTATCTATCTATCTATCTATCTGTCTATCTGCTTACCTACCTACCTATCTATCTATCTGTCTATCTAACTATCTATTTATCGAACTATCCGTCTACCTAGCTACCTATCTATCTAACTATCTACCTAACTATTTACCTAACTATCTATCTAACAATCTACCTAACTATCTATGTATTTCTCAATCTACCTACTTAAAGGGTGATCCAAAATTTTAGTACTTCACAGAAAAATTTCTCTTCTCTGTCTTATAAAAAATCAAAAAAAGCTCAAAATTTAACTAATAGTCAAGCAATATCAGATAAGTATCACTCTAAATATTCACAACTAAAACTCAAGCTATCGTGAAGACGTAACTCCAAACTAAAAGATTTTTTTCGTACCATCTAATCCAGTAACCGGTGTCCATGATAAATAGATTTATTTTCGACCTTTTTTTCTCAATTTCTAATATGTTTCTTGAAAAAAATATATCAGAAGATGGCGCGTCAAAATATCTCCAATGTACAATAGAAAGCTTATTTTATATATGATCTTTTAGTGTTCAAAATGGATGAAAATGATGAAAAGAGAAAATAAAGAAAAAAAGACTTCATCATGTATAAAAAATAACTTTTTCGCAACATTAGAATTCACTCACTTCGAAATCTACTGATTTTGAATACTAAAAGACCATATATGAAATAAGCTTTCTATTGTAGATTATAGATCTTTTGACGCTCCATCTTCTGATATATTTTTTTTGCAACAAACATATTAGAAACTGAGATATATTTAAACTTATACTCACTATTTTTCTTCGAAAAATATATGTGAGTT